ACATATCTAAAACAATATGAAAACATAGGTTCATAAACCAAGAACATAAAATAGATCATTCTTGATCACCAAAATCTTCAAACTCATATTTTAAAAGGTCATCATCATCATTCATCACTGCATTTTCTTCAGGCAAATCAGTGTTGGTGTGATGAGATTCATCACTCCATTGCTATCAGAAAAGCTCTTAAAAAACTCAAGCTACAAGCTTTTCAAAAACCAGTGTATGTTTGTGAAGACTTTTCAAAAAGATTATCTAGTTTTCTAAGTCTTCACAGCATCAAGAAATCTTGCAGTTTATACGAAGATCAAGCCACCATCAAGTCAAGATTTCAATTTGGAGATACCATCAATCTTTTCCAACCCTCAACTCTGTAGAAGTTGATAGAGGCTGAGTAAACTCGGAGAAGTTGAAAAACCTAGCAAGTTGTTGTCCGGCTTAGTATCAAGGAAGCAAGCTTGGCTTAGTTTGTACTATGAGTGATAGTGCAAATCCTTTCACGAGTTGTGAAAGAAGAGTGTAGTATGCTTAGTTAACATCCGAACCACTATAAAAATCTCTTTCTCCCTCTCGTTATTTACTCTTTACTTAATCGCATTGCATTGCATCCATAATCACTTGAACATAACGATTTCTAACGAAAGTGTGCAAGGAAACAATTAAAAAGGGATACTTACTTTTCCGCTGTGCATTACTCTTTCAAGTTTAGTTTCAAAATTCGCATAGAGTCTATTCACCCCCCCCCCCCCCCCCCTCTCTAGACTCTCATCCTTCGATATCGGGACCAATAAATCTCATGGAATTGTTCCATGACCGGATGATTGTCCACCATTTTATAATCATTAAATTCACTTACTTAGGAATTTTTTGCTTGAGACATCCTCAGATATGCACTTTGCCTCTAGTACGTCTCAGAGGTCCTTTGAGGACTTCTCATACTGATAAACATTAAAGAGGGTGTCAGACATACCGTTTAGAATGTGACCGCGGCAAGCAAAGTCATCGTTCTCCCATTTGAGTCTCTGGCAAGTAGCTTCAAGAATTTTTGTTGAATTTGAGTGCTGCACTATGCTTACTTCCTAGTGGGTCAGCTATCTTGTGACTGTTGTAAATCAAGCACGCTTAATCACAAAGTTCTTTGGCTATCTAGTTGTCATATATCCTACTTAAAACCAATTGGTGATAAGTATGTGGATATTAACCATTTAAACACATCCCTCCACAGTAAGCTACAGCGACACATCTCGAATCGAGCATGGGTTGAACTCGACCAACCCGGCCGATGCCCAGCAGTTTCATTCTCTTGTTCCTCTGGTTTCGGGGTACCCAGCACATATGCCACATTTAGGGTTGCAAGGACGAACTTCATCTTCTTTTTCCATCTTCGAAAACCCATGCCTTCAAACTACTCCAACTTTTGAAAGTTGGTGGTAAAGTCATGAAACTCAGAACTCATCTTTCCTCAGAAACAAAATTTAATACTTATATAGTGTTAGAAAAATAAAGAGTGACTGGAACGAGGATACTGAGGAATGAGATATTCAGGCCTGTAATCACTTTCCTATAAGTTTTAAATCAACCTCAGAGAAAGCAACAAGGTTCAAGGTTTAAACTTATTAATACAAGAAAATGAATGAAATCCTTAAGTTGCTTTGTTTAAGAATTTACTGTAGAAATGTAAGACTGTGAAACATCTTAGTATACTGCAAAAATATGGCATGTATGTCTTTCATATGTTTCTCCATATATTTGAAGATGCAAATATAGCTTTTATGAGAAGTTACATTGAAGTTACAGCAGTTTAAAGACTCCAACTTCTGATATATATATATATATATATATATATATATATATATATATATATGTGTGTGTGTGTGTGTGTGTGTGTGTGTGTGTGTGTGTGTGTGTGTGTGTGTGTGTGTGTGTGTGTGCGCGCGCGCGTTTATTTATTTATTTATTTATTTATGAGTTAATTTCATTTTTTTTACAAAGTGGGTTGCACCTCTATATTTTTATTTTTGTATTTTTTTGGAAAAAAAAAACATATTTGAAGGCCGAAATACTCTTGTATTTCCGGCATAGACCTTGTGTTAGAATGCATATTTAGGGTGATTTTAGATCACCACGGGTATACCCCTCATCTGAATATATATATATATAAAGAAAAAAAAAAAAGAAATACTCTTGTATTTATGGGAATTTAAATGATTTTATTGATAAAGGACAAAAAAAATGATCATACCACAATAATACTAGAACCAAAAGGAATGTTTTGAAAAAAAAAATTAAAAATGAAATGACACCTATTAATTTAGAACAAAAAATAGAATTAACTCTATATTTAATTTATTATAATTACCAAGTTATGCTTTTGCATGCAAACGAACCTACGTAAAGTAGTACACGGAATATATGTAGGCAATTCATCAACAGGAGGCCAGGCCGGATTAAATCACCAAATTGCAGCAGTGTATTGATGACTTGACCAATTCAAAACTGTTGACACAATAATGAATTGAAGGCTATTATTGCCATAGGTTCATAAATTAAAGTCACTACTCTCAATCAATTAAATAACTATTGCAAGTTTATTACACAATTTTTTTAAACGATTTATTTAAAAATTTATAAATATGGATGCCATTTTTAAAGATATATTTTTATATATTTATTTATCTATAAAAATAAATAAATAATATGTTTAAATTTGTGCCATTGTATTTTTATAAAATTGTACGTAGTTTTTTTTTTTTTTTTTTTTTTTATAACTTAAGTGATCTTAAGTTCACCTTCAAAAAAGTTCACCGAACTAATTCTAAGCTCACAGGACCTCATCCCTAGAGTTAAATCGCGAGTCACGCAATCAGTCAAATGGACGCACAAGGGATCCAATCCAGACCTTCCAGCATCCTTGAGTCTTTTTTCCATACATATTAGGACCCCAACCCTAGAGGTAAAGGGAGGTAAATCAAGGTAAATCACGAATCGTGCAATTAGCCCACCTTCTTGGGCGTTTTTCCCCGTCTTCATGTGCGCTTTTTAGCATTCTTGAGCATTTTTCTCATATATGCTTCTAGTGGGATTCAAACCTTCACATTGCCGTATCTAATCATGATATTTAATTAAGTCAAGCAATGAACCAACTACACTAAAACTATAGTATTACTTTTATTAACATGAGTCCATGCATCATATAATTTGCATCTTACTCCAATATTTAAAAGAAAAATTATAGAATATAAATGAACGCCGACCATCGACTTGGATCTATCACTAAAAAAAGGTTTCTTTTAGAAGTCAATTGCTTCATATTCAAGTGGGTGGAACACAAGGAACAGGCGGCTTAGCCCATGTTCATGCAAAAATACCTAATTAATAATGGTTGACTATATATATAAAAGTGAATATATTTATTTTAAATGCCATTACCGAATTGAGTGAGGCTAAAGTTAGGCACTTAGGCTCATCTCCATAGACACTCTTTCTAACCTATTCCTTTATTTATTTTTATTTTTTAAAAAAAAACCCTATTTTGAAAGACCAGATCTTAATTCTAATAACTTGCAAAACAAATCTATTTGCCGGAAATTTCTTCTGCACTTACTAAACCGGCCTCTTCAATACTGCATTGATTTAACATACAACATTTTTTAACTCAAATGTTCTTTGTATTTGAATATCATATCTGTTGGTACAAAAATTACATCATAATTTTTGTATTAATATTAGTTGACATATGTATGTATGCTGATTATGTTGATGATGAACCAAAGTAAATTATGATGTACGTGTGTATGGGGCCGGTAAGGATAATATCATAACAGTATGTATATATGCTTGTGTGGTAAATGTGTAGTATATGCATGCAAATCGAAATGGGAATGCAAAATGGATTAATCATTCAAAAACAAAATGGGAATCGCACCAAGTTGCTCTCACATATGGGAGGTTGTGGGTTTGAGTCTCAGCTCGGTGGAGACGATATTGACTCTTTGTGTTTCATCAGTAGGTTAAGAAAGTAGTTATGAAGAGATACTGTATTGTAACAGAGTCAATAGTAGTACTAAAAAAATGAAGGGATCGGAAGCAAAATGGTGTTGTATATGTGCAAATGGTGTAGTGGTCACATGCTTCAAATTAAATCAGTGCCAGTACATGTAGATCATGGGAACCTCATGGGGGAATTGAATATCATGCCTAGCTAATTTCAAGGAAGCGAAGTAAATTTAGAGAATCTTATACTATAAAAGGGGATTTGTGTAAGAGTTTAGATCTGGAGTTTAGGGGGATTATATTATCTCAAGAGTGTAAGGAAAATATTCAGAATCCATATTCAATGTGCTAAACTGCATACTATTAGGAGAAGTCTGCTCCAGAAATTATGACTGATGATCAGGTAGGTGTATTTTGTATAATTGTTACATCAGTACAAAATTGTATATATCCTATAAACTTTTTTCATAAAGTTGTTATAATATGTGGTAGGTATAATTCAGTAAATCATTTGAAACTTAATTGTATTTGTAAAAATAGTGGTTGATCTTTAGTGAAAATGTTTTTGGGCGTGGCTTTACAGAATAGGGGGTGGTGTGATATGATATCAATTCCTTAGGTGGTCAAGCATTATATTTTAGTGTAAATGGAAAGTAGCGTAGGCGGTATTGGCGTATCCCCTAATTTTCAACCCTTTTATTTGACAAACTTTAATTTCTTTGAGCTTTGAGGAGTAATAGTCAAAAATATAGTATATCATACCAATTTAATTCAATGATTTAATAAACACTATTTGAGAGAACAGATCAAGGTTTAAACTTATGTCGTGATAACCTGAAGATTATCTTTAAAGTAGACAAATCTGTTATACTTACTATATCATTCTGTCAAGTCGGGGTATAGGGGGTTTTTGGAGTTGGGGATTAATGTTTTGGAGAAAAAAAATTAGTATACCCCAAGATATATACATTAATGTATGTATTTATATTGCCAACCTAACCAAAATCTTTGAACTCAAGAAAACTCTTTGCACTTTTATCATGTTCACGTCCCTTTAATTAATTTGTATATCCTCTGATCTCTATCCATGTTTCAGGCCAGGCCGGCTGTGGATATGATGATGAAGTCAATTAGAGATGGGCGCCGTTTCTTCATCTCCTGCTTTTTCTTCCTTCTTTTCCTATGCGTTTTAGCTTCCATCAATGAACTCCGATTCGACGGCCGCCTCATGAAGTTTCACAAATGCGCTTTTTCCGATTCTAATACCACCACCCATATCGATATCTCTTCCAAGCAAGATCTTCCGAGTTCGTCGGCCGCCGCCGCAGACGGCGGCGAAATCCGAATCCTCGTCGGGATTTTGACCCTCCCGGACCAGTACCGCAAGCGCCACTTCCTCCGGCTAGTATACGGCACCCAATCCCCGCGGGGCGCGAAGGTGGACGTGAAATTTGTGTTCTGTAATCTCACCAAGGAGGATCAAAAGACCCTAGTGGCACTGGAGATAATGCGCCACGACGACATCATCATCCTCGATTGCCAAGAGAACATGAACAACGGCAAGACCTACACGTTCTTCTCCAGCCTGCCGGAGATTCTCGGCGGCGGCGGCGGCGGGCGACCGTACGATTACGTCATGAAGGCCGACGACGACACGTACTTGAGACTGGAAAATCTAGTGGCCTCTCTAACGCCGTTGCCGAGACAAGATCTGTACTACGGGTTCGTGATCCCGTGTACTAGCATGGACCCTTTTAAGCACTACATGTCCGGGATGGGATATCTGATATCCTGGGATTTGGTGGAGTGGATTAGAGAGTCGGATATCCCTAAAGCGAATGTGGAAGGTCCCGAGGATAAGGTTCTTGGTGAGTGGCTCCGAGACGGCCGGAGGGGACTTAATCGGTTTAACGCCAAATGGTCGATGTATAACTTCCCGGTGGAGCCGCCGAATGACGGCTGCTCGCACGAGTTCTGGCCGGAGACCGTGGCGGTTCATCAGCTCAAGACTCAAGAGAAGTGGATTCGGACTTTGAGTTATTTTAATGTCACCAGAGATTTGATGCCATCTAAGCTGTATCATATACAATAGGTTGAATTGAAGATTGATAACTGCATTCTTTATTAGTTTATTTCCAACAAACAATCTATCAATACTAATCATTCTTGTTGGTTTTATGACTAACCGTTAATCGGTCGGTCGGCCAACACAACCCTAAAGGTATGATAAATGATTCAAGGAGAGCAAAGAGATCAAAAGTTATTTTGAAGAATCACCTTTGTTTTTTTACTTGAAGCTTTTATCTTGTTGAAATGCAATTGCATTCTCTTGTTGATTCTTTAATGTTCTTGTTGAAGTCGAAGATTGCGAGAGTATGAGCAACTTAGGGTTTTTGAATTTTGTTTGCCTATTTGCTTGGGAAAATGGATAAAAGCTCTAAGACAATAGAAGCATAAAGGAGTAAAACTAATGCGGCCTTTGTATTTTTTTTAAAAAAAAAATTGGATGTAAGTACTCCGGTATTACATACAACTAAATAATTGCAAAGAAGAGATGTGAAAGAAGAAATTAGCTGGCCGCTCTAAGGCTATTTGGTTGGATGTAGTTGTAATTCCTTTATAACATAATTCCTTAGCATTTTAAATTACAGTGTTTGTTGGAGGGAATTGCAATTCCCTCCATTTGAGGAATTGCAATTCATACATTCCCCATGCGAATTCTAATTTGGTGCCATCTTCGAGAGGGGAAAACATGAAAATGACCAAATTACCCTGAATATTATTATCATTACATAAGGACATTTGAGTCTTTATATCACTTCTTCCATTCTCATTCCAAATAATTTTATTCCTCCCTACCAAACAATGTAATTTGAATTCCTACTTTATTCTCACCAAATTACAATTCCTTCCTAATTCCCTCCATCCAACCAAACACCCTAAGGATTGACAAACCTTGGAGAGTAACTTTTAAGCCAGAAAATCCTTTAAACCTTTTGATCCTAAAGTGGAACTAGAATACTGCTCTTATCTCTCATCCTTGGAGATTAAGCTGATTTGATATCACATTCCTTGCCTCACTACATAATGCTTCTGGATTATTTCCCTCAATAGGCTGATGAATCACAACTTTAACTGACCCACAATTTAATCTGCCCTCCATTCCTGCAGGCATGATTTTTCCAGTTCCAACAAGGGTTATAGGAATAACAGGAACTCCAGTTTTTGCAGCAATACTGAATGCACCTTTCTAGAGATCAAAAAACATAAGATAATAAGATGAACGTTATAATGGGGTGGTGGGTATAATAGATCAGCAAGTTGTAGTTTCTTCTAATTATAAGATGACCTAATAACACACAATATAACAAGTGGATGATAATTATGGACCAGTGGGAGAGCAGTGCAGCTAAATGTTCAGGGTTTAAGGCCTTCAAGTTCTCCTAATTGAAGTATGAGCAACTACTGCCATAATGCAGATAAAATACAGCTTTTGACAACAAAAATTGATCCCGCAGCCAAAGGTGAATGCTAATATTACTCAAACCTTTCACTTCTCTAATGTTCATCTAATCATCCAATTTATTCGCTTGTACCACACACAATTAAAGCATAGGTCTTACCTTGAAAACCCCTAGCTTTCCATCTTTACTCCGAGTACCCTCTGGGAAGAAAAAAACAGATGCTCCCTTCGTGACAAGATCCATGCATCTCTTAAGGCAATCCTAATTCATAAAAGAAACATAAATTAAGATTCAAAAACCACAACAATAGAGCACAACGTTTTTGGAAAAGAAACAAAGATGATGACATATTCAGTACATTGTAGTTACTCTAACGAAGCTAAGTTATCAAAGTAGCACCAATTACGGTGTTAATGGGAAATAATACAACTTACTAATTGGCTTCTGGTGTCCATACGCCTCAAGGGAATAGTTCCCATCAGATACATGGCCCAACCAATGATAGGAAAGAGGAAAATAGCAGTCTTGCTAATGAATTTGAAGCTTCGCCCAAGAGTAAGGAGAGTGTAAATGTCTAAAAAGCTCTGGTGGTTGGATACAAACACAGCAGGAGTATCATCAGGAGGCAGATTCTCCAATCCCTTAATCTCGATATTATAAAATGGAGAGACAGTCAGATTTGCCCAGACCATAGCAACAAGGTGATGAATTTTCCGACGGTAGCGATCAAAACAGAGTACAAAAGGATGTGCAGCAAGCATTAGCACAAACAAAAAAATGGCAGAGAAAGCGGTAGCTGCATAGAAGCCAATTCCTCTGATTTTTGAGCCAAACTGCAGCTCTACACGAGAAGACAAGAAAAGCTAAAACTCATAATCTCAAATGGAAGAAATGACTAGGGTAAAAACACTTGAAAAATGCACCTGGCAGTGGATAGGCAGCACCTGCAGAGCCAGTACCAACAAGTTCAGATCTGACAGCAATATACCGTGGCAATCTATTGTGTTTGAACATATTATAATCTCCAGGCATTCGACCAAACTTCATTTCTGGGTAGGAAGAAGGCCAGGATGCACATGAGTGTATTCTTGTACTCGATGCTATATTATCTGCAGTAACAAGCAAAAGAGATAAGAAACAAGACAATAATGTAAAAAGTATTCTATCATACGAATTTGGTTACTATAATGAAAAGGATCAATTTAGAAACTATGATGTCGAATCTATGGCATAATTTAGTTTGTACACTATAGAAGATTATCTTGAGAAAACATTTTTAAAGCAAAGCGTCACTTCCTGGTTATAATGAAGCAAAAGTCCTGCAGATGTTTATTTCCTACAAATTATCAAGAATAGTAAAATTCATTTTTGATATTAAAAGTAATCATATCTGCAAAATTCATTCACCTACTTGGGATGCCTAGCAGATGGAATGAAAAAGCTCAAATTCAGGGAATACAAATTATCAAGAAGTTTTCTTATTACCTACTAGTGTTCAAGCACTTTAATTGGAAATGATATTGTTTCCTTTTTCTCAATCCTATGTTGGCAGTTCACCCCTCTTTATTTATTTATTTACTTTGGTTGAAATTTCAGGAAGGAGGGAGGGTTCTGGGTGTGCTATAGTAGGTTACCAAAACTCCAGATTTAAATCAATATCCATGTGATAGATCAATCATAATGGCAATAAAAACTATGGAGAAATAAGCTTACTAGTTCTTGAAATTCTCCAGATTGGTTGCTTAAAATAAGAGCAACGACAATAGTTTGCATAATGCACATTCGATTGCTGAAACGAATTGACAATGGCATTGTCAGAAGCATGTTAACAGCACTTGCTAAAATGCTACATTTAGAAATTCTACCACCGTCAATTGTATTAGTTATGTTAAAAAGCATCGAATAGCAATAATGCATAAGGCGAATTACTCAATATGTTTAAATAGCTCTTAGTTATAACTAGCATAATATCTTGGGTGCTTGAAGCACACAGTCGAATTGCACACTGCCGTGTTTGCAAACTTTAAGTAAACTGTCAAATGCAACTAATTATATGTTCACAAATGCTTGATAGAGATTGTTTTTTTAAAACTTTATCCTTGTATGGAATGCATTAAGTGAATTATTTTTAAGTACAAAACCATCATTTATTTACAGGTACAAAACCTTCATTTCATCTTCATAACTCCCTACCCGCTCCCAATCCAAAAGTAATTATAGTCACAAACTATGAACCCCTTCCCAACAACACTTAGAAATTTACGAACCATATGAAGTTTTATCCTCCAATTTTTTCCCAACTACAAGGTATGTTGCCATTCTCAACCCATTTACACCTTTAATATTCTCACAGGTATCAATTAGTCTACCTAATCCTTCCGCTGATAGTAATATAGAATATTATTTTCTAGAGTGCAAAATCTTAGTTCGGTGTTGCATAACTAGATATACTCCAAATAAAATGCTACCTCTTTGATCCTAGCCATAGATTTATAATTAAAAGGGTAAAATCCCGTTAAGTTTAATCAAGCTAACCCTTTCTCCCATTTTCCACTTCTACAAAACCAATGGACGTAGATTTTTACCAGCAAAAAAGTGCATCTGAGTGCTTCACATTTACATAGCTATTCATCCATATAATTACATAAACTAACATTCAAAGAAAAAAAAAAATAGAAACATATGCATCGATCGAATTGAAGTTTGAGGAATTACCTGAATTAGAAATGGCGAAACGAGAACTTTTGCATCCTTTTCCCCTGAAAATTGAAGTGAGATTGAAGTATATCAGAACTTCTTCACATGTAGATATTGAAAACACAGATGTTACACACAGGTGATTGATTTTACAGTAGTGGTGCGGCGGAAGGGATGGCCGGAAGTGGAAATTGTTGAATTTAGATTGGAATTTTCCAAATGAGACATCCATTCGTTTTTTCTTCAACTCGCAGATTTACTCAGTTGATTGCATTCTTCAATGGCTTTGGAAATCGGAAGCCTCGAAATTAGCGAGCGATTCCAGATAAAGCAATTTTCTTGGATGAAGACGGTGAAAAGAGCCCATTACTTTATTTTATTTTTGAGTTAATGTCATATGGATTATTCTCCATATTCGAATATAATGATTTTGGCATGTTTAGTCTTAAAATAAAATATTATAATTGATTTTTTTGGAAGAGAACATTTAATTCATTAAATTAGAAGAAAGATAGTCAACAAGAAAAGAAAGGACTATCGAACCATTCTCGGTAACCTGATAAAGAAGCGATTTTCCGAGCAACAATATGGACCGCACGAGTATTAGCAAAGATTATAATTGATATTTGATAATTGAATGGAGCAAATACCAATTTTGGTCCCATGAGTATTAGCAAAATGACGGTTTTGGTCCACATGTTTGTTTAATTCCTACCAATTTTCATCCACAATTATTATTTTAATACTAATTTTAATCCACGACTATTATTTTAGTACCAAAATTCATCACGTCAGTCACTCATCTATTTAAGACATTCCGAAATCTAAAAACTTTAAGGACATTTTCGTCCTTTTCAATTTAAGATTCCAATTTGAGCATAAATAAATGAATTTCAACCCTAAGATCGATCTCAATTCGCAGTTCTTCTCCTCATTCTACCTTAATTTGAGGAGGAAAACTGCAAATTTGGATAGATCTTAAGGTTTAAATCTTATTTATTCATGCTCAAATAGGGATTCTAATTTAAAAAGCACGAAACTTTACCCTTAATAATTTCATATTTCGGCATGTCTTAAACGAAGGGGTGATCGGTGTAATGAATTTTAGTACTAAAACAATATTTGTGGATTAAAATTTGTACTAAAATAATAGTTGTGGATAAAAATTAGTAAGAATTAAACATGTGGACCAAAATTGTCATTTTGTTAATATTCATGGGATCAAAATCGATATTTACTTTAATTGAATGACTATGTATAATTAATTTAGATTATAGATGATAATAACGGAAAGTTAATTTGAAAATTAAAGATTAAAGGTGACAAAATTAATTTTTTTTTTTTTTGAAAGCTGACAAAATTAATATATTTGAATACTAATAAAAAGCTCGTTGAGGCGGAGTTTGCAACCACGAAATATAAAACAATACTTAATTTTTTTATATAATACTCAAAATTCACCCATAAATGTACGGAATATATTATATAATTATAAGTTTATGTAATAAATTTTAAAAATAAATTAGAAATGGAAGAAGTTAAATTTTATATAGTTTATAAACTTTGAAGGAAAAAAAAGTACAATAAATAAATAATTATACAATTACAATTTACGATTTTTAAACAACTTTTTTATACAATATTTGTTGTTACCTACTTTGATAGTTATTCTAAATTATCATAAGATCAAAAGTCAGTATCATATGTGATTAACAAACATTTTTTTTTACTTAAAACAATTTAGTGGATTAATTTAATTCCAAAATTGATTATATAAACAACTTTTTTTACTAAATATTTCACTAATAAATTAATGATGTGTGAAATTGGCAAAATTCAGTGCAACTTAAAATATATAGATAATATTATATATTTATTTTAATATACTAAATGTTTATTTTTAATGTACTGAAAGTTAATTTTTAGGTAGTATACCAAATAACAAATATTTATTACATAAGAACTGAGCATTAAATGTATTAGAAATAAACGTTTAATATACTAAAAATGAATCTTATGTCAATAGTTCACTTTACAAGATGAGCCATGGTGCATGGATGAGCCAAGATGAGCCACTGTGCACCATGATTCAAAATGGTGTCGTTTATTTTAATGAAAATAAATGGCACATGTTCGGCTGTTCTATCCAACTTATTATTATTATTATTATTATTATTATTATTATTATTATGTATTTAGTTTCATTTTATATATATTGTAGTTTCATTGCAACACACCAAAAGTATCATTTTGATTCAACTACAGTTTCATTTGACATTATATACTTAATATGTGAGACCTGTTATTGAACTTCATTTTATACACACTGTAATTTTATTCAACAGCACTAAAGTAGAATTCTAATTCTAATTCTTTTTTTTTTGGAAGTTACTGGCTCTATTACATTGTAGTATCTGTTCATATACTTTCTCAACCTACTGAAACACAAAGAACCAATAACGCCTCCACTAAGGCTTGAACTCATAATCTTCCAAATGGAAGTCCAACCCGGGTACCATTAGACCACATAGTCCTGGTCTAATTCTAATTCAAATATGTAAAACTTGTTATTTAATTTTATTTTATATACACTGTAGTTCCATTACAATACACCTAAAGTATCATTTTCATATAACTACATTTTTATTTGACAATATACATTCAATATGTTAAACATGTTATTCAGTTTCATTTTATACATATTGTAGTTTGACTAGTTTCATTACAGTACAACTAAAGTATCATTTTAATTCAACTATAGTTTCATTTGACAGTATACACTCAATATATGAGACTCATTATTCAGTTTCATTTTAGATAGACTATAATTTCATTACAACACAACTAAAGTATTGTACTAATTTAATTATAGTTTCATTTGACATTATACACTCAATATGTGAGACATGTTATTCAATTTCATTTTAAATATACTATAATTTCATTTTATTCTTAGCACATTATAAATACGGGATTAATAAAACATAATGGCAACCATTTCTTTACTTAAAGAAACGATGACGTTTTTGGACTATAATTCATCCACCGTATAACAATTGTGTTGACAAAAATGAATAAATGGAGTTGCGGGTTTTCCAGATTGAGTAGACAGTGCTTGCAAAAGGCAAGACAAATTATTGTGTGGATCACGGTATAAACCGGCATCGTTAAATTGTATAAATTAGAATAATGTACGTTGTGAGTTAGAATAATGTACATTATACATTAAAGTAATGTATATTATGCTTTAGAATAATGTATATTATAAACATAAAAATGTATGTTGCAGTGGATCGTGTGAAAAAAAATTACATAAATTGACATTATTTTTGGACAGTGATCCATACAGCTATATGGATTACGGTCCACGCAATAACTATTGAAAAGGCAAAATTATCAATCGTTATATCCTGCACCATGGCGCACCCGAAACGACATCGTTTTGGGAGGCGCGGTAGGAAGTTGACATGATTATGTATATTTGTTTATACAATTATGTATATTTTTTGTTATGTACATTTTTTATACAATTGTGTACATTTTTTTTATACAATTATGTACATTTTTTTATACAAATATGTACATCCGAATCAGGAAATTTTTGTGTATTATGTTAAGAGTTGATGTGTATTATGTTAAAAGTTTATGTTTATTATGTATTATGTTAGATTATGTGTATTATCTTTTTAAAAAAGAGTATGTGTATTTTGTTATATAATTATGTACATTCATGTATACAATTATGTGTATTCTAGTATAACATTATGTACATTTTTAAACATGAGATTTTTTTTAAAGAAAATTAACTGCTAAACACTGGGTAGCGAAATTTAAAAAAAAAAATGAAACAACGTCGTTTTGCATCTGGGCGCACAAAAATTATGGCTTTATTATGGGCCAAGGGTCCTTTGTAAGCTTTGTTGATCCATTTAGCTTGGCAAAGTAGATATGCGCAAATTATGCTGTGCAACCGAATGCACCTTGCAAGGTGCATACGGTTGCAAAACGGCACCGTTTTGGTTTAAAAAAACGCGCGTCTCACTTAAAGAAGAAATCAGGTTCGATTCCCGGCAATAACATTTTTATATATCCAGAAATTCATAACTATATATCCACAAATTCATAACTATATATCCACCGTGAATGAATGAAGTAAAAATCCACAATGAATTAATGAATGAAGTAAAAATCCACAATGAATGAACTAAATATCCACAATGAATGAACTAAATATCAACAATGATTGAACTAAATATCCACAATAAATGAACTAAATATCCATAAATTCATAACTATATATCCAGAAATTCATAACTATATATCCATAAATTCATAACTATATATCCACAGTGAATAAATGAAGTAATTAAACATCTACAATGAATGAACTAAATATCCACAATGAATGAAGTAAATATCCATAAATTCATAACTATATATCCACAAATTCATAACTATATATCCACAATAATACTATTGCCAAGAATCAAACCTGATTTTTTTTTTAAAAATGAGACGCGCGTTTTTAGTCAAAACGACATCGTTTTGCATCGTATGCACCATGCGCATGGTACATTCGGTTGCACAGCATAACTATTGGTAGATATGCTTTGATGCCGCTTTACCCAAACCAAAATAGTAAAATTGCATCCAAAAAAGAGATCCTCAACCGACTGATTATGAGTGGAACAAAACCCACATCTATGGTCCAGATTATCCAAAACTAAATTATCCTTTTGTGGACAACCTGTTTCGATTCGCGGCAAATTTTGCTATACACCAAACATCATGTTATGACAGTGCTCTCAATAGTCAATATATTAACCAAAGTTTTGTTATTAAATTTTTTACCAAAGGTTTATTTAATTAGTATCAAGACTATCAACCAACTTTATAAATTTTTTACCAAAGGTTTTCTTTTTATATGAGCATTGATTAAAAATCTAATCCACGCCCCATTATTCAATTTTCTAAAAATTTGATACAAAAAAATTAATGCAAACAGTATTCTTCCATTAATAACTAATGATTGTATGTGTTGCAATTCTCGACAAAATGATAAAACAAGTATGACACTTAGGAAAATTAGTGAATAAAAAATTCTAAATTTTCACATTTCAACCCAAAAGAAACCCCCAAAAAAGTACATTTATAATCATGGAAAAAATATGCATTTTCTATTTTTCAACTCCAAGGCTCTATCTTCCTGAAGTAAATTACACCTACTAATCAAACATATAATGTAATATGAACCAAATTGCGATAAAAGTTCAAGATTCAATTATTCATGAGACAGAACCCACAACTTATTTTTTTAGTTATAAAACTAGGAATGCATCTTAAAACAAACAAAAACAAGAATGGCATATTTAAAAAGATTTAAAATACAGATTTTATGAGTAGAACATAATTCTTATACTTAAATATCATTAATTTAAATTTGTTAACACTCCCTTATTCGAATTGTTACATACATTCTTCCTAAATCCTAATACAGTTTATTTCTCATATGTAATTTGCATTACATTCAATTACATAGAAATAGAATTTAATTGTAGAATTTACTCAATATACACCCTCAAATAGTGACTCTATAAATTTCTTTCACTACCAAAAAGAAATCAATGTATCCAATTTTTAAAGCTAGGCCAAAAAACGAAACTAGTAGTGTCAAAAAAATATACACTTCTTATCAATTTAGTAAAGTTAATTATACGTCACATAGAATTCTTTGAACCTAAAGCATCCAGTAAATGTCAAATAGAGAATTGCATGGAATATCAATCAATGGGTGCAACATTCCCCGACAAATCAAAACTGTGTACCTTTAAGCAGAATTTATCAGGTTCTTAAATTTAACATTTTAAAAAATCTCACAAAATTTTGGAGAATAGAATTCCTAAAATTACTAAATACAAATTTAAAAATCATTTCTATGAACCTTACATTACCTTTAAAAAATCATATAATAATCCAATACCCACATCACCGATATTATGTAATATAATATTAACCAAATGGCACCTATATATAATATCACCACTCTAATAAAAACATTCCATACGGAACACAAACTAATGCAGAACATATATGGCGAATGAAATATTTTCTGGTATATACATGTATATATTTCAACATATTAGATGAATTCAGAATTTCTATAGAATTGACCTTTGAAAGTATAGAAAGATAAGGCCTCTTAATCCATGATATACACCCTAAAAAAAATACGAGCACAGTATTAATCTGTCGCCATCTTGACCATGTATCTCCATTAAACTGACATGGCACCAGAATGGTTATCCTTAACACCAAATATTATTTCAGTCTTCACTACTCAAATCCAACTTCTATTCAATATAGAGAAAATGTCATATTAAGGGAAATGTAAAACAATAGATCTTCAACAGAGATTGCAGTTGTATTCCCACCATAAATTGCAGCAGAGCACCTACAAAACAAAAGAATAAACCAAATTGAATGCAATACGTTCCTGGAAAATTATAAGGGGAATGTGGAGAGGTAAAGGAATAAAGGGAAAATACAGATTTTATTGAGGAACTACTGAAAATAATGTCAAAACTATACACAATGAGCAGCTCTATCTATATAGAGTAAAGCCTCCAAGATACACTCAGAGACTTGACTCTTAATGAAAGGGAGCAACTCTTCTAATATTCAAATAACTTATTTGAGAACAAATCCCTCATACAAAATTGCTAGGAAGTTTCCTTAGTCTTGCCCTAGCCAAAATAAGGGCAAAGTAGTAAAAAAGAGTCCTACAAAACAAAGGAAATAAGACACATCATCAAGTTTAAACAAAATTAGTGATGGTGCAATAAAAGGACAAAAGTCTCCAAGTGGCAACTTTGGGGCGAACTTTCCGATTCAGTGAATGAACATAAAGTTAACTATGAATCGTATTAAGGGATCTATAGAAAATAATGGAATTACAAAAAGAATTGTATACAACCTATAGCATATTGGAGCAATATAAAGTTGACTATGAACTTAAATAAGGATCTAGAGAAAATAATACAAACACAAAAGAATTCTATACAAACAGAGGATTGGATATAAGAATGTATGTCTCTCCATCTCTATGATCGAACCCCAATTTAGAGTATAGCCTCCAAGTTATGCTAAGGGACATAGGTCTTCATGAAACAAAGGACCTCATCTAATTTTCACATAAAAGCCTCCTTTGCTTCTAGAACCTTCCAAAAACAAGGTACAAGACCACTTTAACTCAATTTGGCTCCTCCGGATAGTGCCTTAAGCAATGGTTAGTGTGTGACATTGGACTCTTATCTTACAGTTTCAATTTTACTGAACTCCAAAATGGAAGCAGTCAAATAAATAAGTTTCAAGTCACATTTCAAACACTAGATCCCAATAATCCACTCCGTCAACCCACCTTTCCATCTTTTCAAAAAGTCTCTCTCCTCTCCACATTTTATTCAATTTGTTTATCCATCACATGATTTTACTCAATCCACATTATTAGGCATTTAAAGCTCCTAGAACTTGACAAGAGTGCCAAGTCTACATTCCAATTTCAGTTTTTCTGTCCATAAACATGTATAACACATAAACCACAATCACTTTGTCCAATCCAGCCATCAACTACCACTGAACAAACCAAAAGTGCAGATCCTGAATATATTCACAAGAATATACACAACTGAAATGGCCACATGCAATATTACTATTTTCTGAAAATGCAGAATAATGCTATGAAATTCCTCAGTGATTCAATAATTCTACAACATAAAGCAATTTTAAATAGATAAATACCTGTACATGATATAAGCCAGCACAAACATGGTTCAGCTGCCCTGAAGAACTTTTTGAGGATCAAGCTGTCCGCTGCAATAGCTTGAAGGAACAGCAGACAGTTCCTGCCTTCCTCTCCACTCCTCACCGGGTTTCAAAATGATAGGTTTTTCCACAGCAGCAGCTTCCACACACAACATGTGCTTATATTCATCATCTCCAAAGTCAGCCATTGCCTTTGCCTTCTTGTCCCAAGGATTCCACACCACTTAAAGTGAAATATAGAAACTTAATAATCAGTCATTCAGTCATGTTAGAAAAAACAGAAAACTTACGAATTGGCAGATATTTTGCATATCAAATACCCTTAATAGAAAAGAATTTCAGTGAAAACCCCAGCAAGCTTCATATTTAGCAGAAAAACCTTGCTTATAAAAATATCCTTTATAGTAAAGAATCCACTATACACCCCCCACCCATGAAGAAAAAATAAATCACCCTTTCAGGAAAAAATAAGATGTCCTACATTAAATAGAAACCAATTCTCCCGTCTTGAAAAAGCAAATGGGAATGACCATCTTACCTGCATCAGGAAGTCCATCCTTACGAATCACAAATGTCCTTTTCTTTTCATGATCAAGGATTGCAATTTTTGTTGGAGTGCTAAGATATATTTTATCCACCTATGTAAAATGGTGTTCCAAATTCTGGATGAGAAACATGGTAAAGGCAGCAAATACTTGACACAATAAAAATTCCTAAAATCCTTACTTCTCCTTCAAAAGTAATAGCATCGCCTTGTTCAGTAAACCGCTCCCTATTCTGCAAGTTATCAAGATAATCCAGTGTTTCTAGCCCCTCAACACGAACTTCACTGTTACAAGAATTATAACGCAAAAAACCATGGTTAAGAAATATGAACAGAACATTTTCCAAAGACTGTCACATCAGCAGCACAAGTACAAGTAAAAAAGCATCATTGTATAAGCCTGTCACATCAAAAACTAAACATCCAAGGTTCACTTGTCCTTAAAGATAGACAACATGTATGAACTTAATCAGACACTTCAAGAAACACAAAATTGGTAAAGAATTAATCTAAAAGGCATTTTATACTCTACACATACATAACAAAAATTTATCCAAAAAACAGATTCTCATGCAGAAGAAAAGAACCACCCTTCACATCATGACCTGCTTAGCACAAACAATAATATTGAATTTTTCCCTAATTATATATTATTAAAGCATTATTTGCTGCTACAAAATTGTAGACAGCTAACTCCCCATGTTGCTCATCCCCTTTTGAAGATAAATTTCAACAAGTAATTGGGTCAGGATTATACATAAATTAAATACCAGAATCAGAACATGTAATTAGTGCATGATCTGATAGTGGTGAAATAGGCAACAGTTGTGAGAAGAGAGTAGAATGTAGAGGAAAAGGTAAAAAATGAGAAACAGAGGGTGAAGTTATACATATATTTACTGAAAATTCTCCAAAAATGAAAGGCATGAAATTCTTATATAGAAGAACTGATTCAATGTTTAACAACCCCAAGACCGAGACATTCCAACACCCTCGATGGTATATTGAGTTATTGTTATTTGAAGTAATTAAGAGCTTGATCTTCTGATACAACTTATCTAGCACAAGAAATCCTATATATCACAAATAAACAAAAAGATAGAATAATAAAGGTAGAATGAAATATAGAATATAGAGAAGAAAATAAACCAAATTTTTAGACCCCTCCTTAGATAAGCAAATGGAACCAGCAAAACAATCAGATCATCATTGAACTGCATAGTTGCAACATACCTAGGAAGAAAAGTTTGACTTGGCTAGTCTTAGGGAACCCTAAAAGGCTAAAACTATTAACAAATACCTTGATAAAATTTAGTCATTCCATAGATTATAACAATAATCCAGTTTATTGTGATCAGCTTTGATTTATTTCTTTAGCTCCATAAATTTGAACAATTGCAAATGACAGCCATGTCATCCTTTTCTCAGATCAACAATACAAATTTATCTGATCACTTCATATTGTACAGAACCAGCATGTAAAAATGTAAACACATATAACTGCAAATGAGATTCATGAACTCAAGGCATACAAAAAGAGAAACCACACACTACAAGAAATAATACCAATTGGTTTGGATGTACTAAGTAATGGATTTATACAAGTCATAATGACTGGCTCACCTTATGTCTGAAACAGAGAGATAGGTGTGATACGCAAATGTAAAGGTGAAGGACTTTCCATCAGTGTTGGTGTTTCTTATTCGAGATGTTAGCATAAGATCTCCTCCAGGTCCCAATGTTACCCTCAATCGGAATTCATAACTAGAAAAAAACCAGGTCAGAAAATCTAAGTGTGGAAAAAATATAAGTTAACCAAAAAGTAATCAATGTGCATCCACCAAACCTGTGAGGCCAGATTTTCAAGTCCTCTTCAGAGGGCTTCAGTATCAAGTCAACAAATGCCCTAGAGTTTGGTGGAACTGGGGGAGGATCCTTGTCAATGGTCCAAAACCTGTTTCTAGCAAATCCATGTTGCTCAAGAGGTCCAAGGTTTGAGAACTGCAAACAGAAAGCGGTTAGTGTAAGTTGTAAATAAGATCAGACTAACATACAGAAGATGGGAAAAGACCATAATACCTGAGGAAAGCATATAGGGATACCTCCACGAATTGCTTTTGGATGCTTGAAAATGGCCTGCAAAGCATAATGACTTAAACTTCATTATACCCATTCACATACAAGTCGTACATACCAGAAAACAGTCAAACACTGTATAAAGTCATAATGATCAGTCCCACATTAAGTTTAATTTTTAATTATTAATGCAATAGAATGCATTATCAGTTGAAGTTAACTCATGAAATTCACTGTAAAAGAGAACATGTGTTAAGCAAGGCTATCTTTTATAATTATAAGATCATGGCATTATAAATTTATTGAAGAAAGAAAAACACTATGTTGGCCATAATTGAGCTCATGAAAGTACCTTACTACTGACAAAGAGCAATTCTTCTCCATGGTCATTCTTCCATGAAGTTACATGGCCCCCGTAGAGATACACCTAGAAAGAACAATGAATATACAATATAAAACCAAACAACTTGATATACTACTAAAATAAAAGATCAGTGAGTGGAAGGACATCATGAAGGTAAGAATAGAAAAACTTTGCACAATACATTGTTAGAAGTTTCAAAACTTGCTTTCTAGCAACAAAGGAAAATGCCAAACTGCACATTAACACTCCCTACCACCCATCCCAAAACTGAGAAATAGCAAAAGAAACACATGATTGATGTGGGACTACTTGTCTAACCAGCATTCTAGTGCTTAATAGTATCACCCCAGTACCAAGACACCAAGCATAGTAAGCATGCATGTTCAGTATGGGAAGATGTAAATATGTAATGGCCTAAAGACTTTGGAAGATGAAGTAACGCCTATCCCAGAGGCATTTGATAATCTATAATCATGCAGATTTATAGCTATATTTAAATAATACTTTAGTATTTATCAATGTTAAGCTTAAAGTGTTACAGATTCAAAAAGAATAGAAACTACTGTGATTAAAAGCATAAGTTTAACCAAATTTCTGGTAGTGTTGCTTTTGTATAACTGAAGGTTCCCATTTACACTCACTCACACACTTTAATGAGGTCAGACTGCGCATTTAGAAGTTGAAACAACTATTATAAAATCTATCAATTACTCAAGAATGGCAGCATACTGTTGTTATGGTAAAACTATAAAAACACAATCTCATAAAACAGCAGTATAATCTAGTGATCATCCAGTAAGGATTTTCTAATACTTGCACAGTATAAATAATTTAGAGAAAGTCGACTTGCATATACATTCGTATACATTTACAGGTACAATTCATACAGATTCGTACATAGAAATTCTAACCAGGAACCTACATCGAAGAATGGGATCTATTAAGATTTTAGATTAACATTAGGATCCAGTGCAACAGATTCAGATCAAGACAGTAAAAAATTAGAAATCAAAACAGCAATCTCAATTTACCAAACGGAAAAAGAGAAAATAATTCAAAAATAGTCAAATCGAAAACGACACTTCACAGATAAATTGCATATCCTAATCACTTCCCCAAAGTATTATCCGAAAATGAAAAGAACGCCAGAAAATTGAATCGGGGAGAAATGGCGTTGCTACCTCGGCGGAGCTGCCGCGAACCTCCCGAAGAACAACCTTGTCGAGGCCATTGATGCCCTTACACAGCTCCACTGGAGGCTTCTCTCTACTAGCAGCAGCCATCACACAGTATGTCTCTTTCTCTCTCTCTCTTACTTTCTACTCCAAATTTGTTACGTACTACAAATTTTCTCTCTCTTAACCCCTTTTAAGCACACCACCCTATGCTCCGTCGTCTCGCGAAATCTCTCGGGGCGGTGTGGCGTGGTAACTGAATATTTTACTTCTTGTTTTTTTTTTGTTAGTTCCATTTTTTATTTATATTTATATTATATTTGTATTTTATTTTGTTTAAAAAATATTTATATTTTATTTTATCCTTTTTGCGATATTTGTATTTTATTTTGTCGGTTTTTATTTTGCGCCCGTGCCTATTGAAATGAGAAAATGATCAGTTTTAACTTTTAAAGAGCGTTTGGTTAAAATATTAAAATCAGAATTTGAATTAGAATAATTATATTATAATGAGATTTAGTAAAACCAATGTAATACGATAATTTTAGTCCATTAATTATACATACATTATATATTCAATTTGTAAATTATTATTCTATATAATTTTTTTCTTTTAATTATGTTGTAGGTGACAGTTTCAATTCATTACTTATAAATTTTATTAGGAAAAATTACATTTTTCGTTCCTAAGTTATAGGGTAATTGTAAAATTCATCCCTGAGTGTTGGTCATGACTCATGCTCACTTTTCGTCCCTAAATTATCATTGGCATTGCATTTTTCGTCCCTAAGTTATAGGGTAATTGTAGAATTCGTCCATGAGTGTTGGTCATGTTCACCTTTCTTCATAAGTTATCATTGGCGTTGCACTTTTCGTCTATGAGTTATACTAAAATTGCAAATTTCGTCCCTAATCACTACTACATAAATGGTATACTACGTCACTTAATAGACAGAGGTTTTTTAAATAACCACGGTCTAATATATTTTGTTATACTACGTCACTTAATAGACGACGCTATTTTAAATAACCGCCGTATATAGTTGACATACACGGCGGTTGTTTAACCACCGTATATAGTTAACATACACGACGGTTATCAAAATCACAGTAAAAAGTGTATATTTACAACGGCAATCACTTACACACGCAACACTTCGAAAACTACCGTGTATGTATAAAAAAAAAAAGTTGTCGTAATAGCTATGTTCTGTAGTAGTGAATGTTTTATTATTAAACGGACGAAAAGTGCAACGTCAATGATAACTTATGGACGAAAAGTGAGTATGACCAACATTTATGGACGAATCCTACAATTACCTTATAACTAAGGGACAACGCATGATAACTTATGAACGAAAAGTGAGCATGCCCAACACTCAGGGACGAATTATACAATTACCCTATAACTTAGAGACGAAAAGTGCAATTTTCTCATTTTATTAATATTAATAATTTATTTTACAATTTTAATGGAAAAATTGCATTTTTTGTCTAAGTTTTAGGATAATTGTAGAATTCGCCCTAAGTGTTGGTCATACTCACTTTTCGTTCCTAAGTTATCATTGACGGTGCCTTTTTCATCCCTTTACTAATAAAACATTAAAGACGAACTTTGCAATTTTAGTATAATTCAGGGACAAAAAGTGCAACGCCAATGATAACTTAGGGACGAAAAGTGAATATGACCAACACTTAAGGACGAATTCTACAATTACTCTATAACTTAAAGACGAAAAGTGCAATTATCCATTTTTAATTATTAAAAGATATATTGGTTATTTTGAATCTTCCTATATCCACTACTTTTACCGTAAAATCTTTTTTAAATACTTGCTTGTTTTGAGTTTTGACTGAGGATAAATTTGAGAAGCAAAAATAACAAGTAAGAAATTACTTATAATTAAAGAAAGACCTTAATTTTGCTTCTTTGCTCTGTAATTTATTGAGTTAATACCCAAAATCGTCCTCGACTATAGTGGTTTTTCTCAATTTCGTCCTAAACGACTTTGGTGACCTAATATCGTCCCAGACTTTTGTGTTTCGCTCAATTTAGTCCTCCATTTGTTATTCCGTCAAATTGGTGTTAAATTAAGGGACAATTCAGTAATGTCAATATTGATCTCTCTTTACTTTCAACTTGTTAAGTGCGAAATTCCTCTTTCTTGTACGAATTACACCTAGAATTACTCCCGGACCTGCAAATCAAATTTTATATTTGCAATTTTAGGAGTAATTTTGGGAGTAATTCGTAAAAAAAAAAAAAAGGATTTCGCAGTTCACATGTCTATGAGTAAAGAGATGCCAATATTAAAATTACTGAATTGTCTATTTATTTAACACCAAATGGACATAATAACAAATGAGGGATTATATTGAGCAAAAACACAAAAGTCTGGGACTAAATTGAGCGAAACACAAAAGTCTGGGATGATATTAGGTCACCAAAGTCGTTTAGGACGAAATTGAGAAAAACCACTATAGTCGAGGACGATTTTGGGTATTAACTCGTAATTTATTTTGCAAATTGCAATTATATTAGAGAAAGGTTTTTTTCCAATTTTCTTTTATTTTTATCATAAAATGTATTTGTTGGTTTTACGGCTTTTGGATGCCGCTCGATGGACCAACACTACCGTAAAATACTTAAAATGCTTGTATGAGTGAAAGATTAGCGTAATTGAGAGAATAATGCAGTATTATTTCTCTAGGATTTCGGCCGCTTGAGTGCCAGAGCATCCTTTACATGGTGATCCCATGAGATATTTATACAAGAGTACAAGATCTATACAAGGAGAGTAGGGCTGACGTAGAGCCAAAATCAATAATGAAAGTAAGGCTGACGTAGAGCCAAACTAGTTAAGGAATCCGGCTTCCTTAATACCATAACTGTCTAAGCTAATAAAGGAAACTACTTGTATTAAATAGGGCAAGAGATCTCCGTGAAATCTGCTTGTAACCGCCTCTAGGTGAGCACCCAGCCGGGGATGCTCTGACTGCCTGGGAGATGATTTGAAGGGGTCGCGGCACCCAGGCGAGGACACCCTGTAACACCCCCTTTTTCTAAAATCTAAATCTCAAATAATCAAGGTTTAGATAACTATATAACCAAACGATAAACTAAGGATGTCACCGCCACAGCCACCACTCACGGTGACTGCACAGGCTACAAAAACAGTTAACTGAACTATAGTCAAACTCTACAAACATAAAAAACGTGGGGAACAAACCCCGGTGTCCACGCACCATCAAAAGATAGTTTAACAAAATCTAACATCAGTTAAACTAAGGGTAGAGATTAAACTAGTAACTACCACCTCAAATCTACGCACTATCTACCACGTGCGCTCTCAAATACTGGGCCCACCTGAAATGGGTTATAAAACAAGTAGGAAAATAAACCCGTTAGCAAATTAATGCTAAGTATAAAACCACTCAACCCTGTAAAGTACTATAGATATAGGTTGGAAAACATTTCTCATTCACACGCAATCTCACGTATGAATATAATCAGTTACTACACTTAGTCAACAATCTCAATAAATACTCATAAACACTTCTATATGCTTGCAACCTATACTTCATATAAACATGTTTTTTCTCAAGTACTCAACTTTAACACATTCTATGCTATAAACAGATATCTCCAATCATAGTCTTATATGCACTACTCATACTGATAGTTAAAGAGATAACTGAGATTCAACAAACAAGATCATGTTATCATGCCAACTCTTAAACAACAATAAAACTTTACTTCTCAAAATACTCTAAATGCAACTCATACTAAGTCATACAACAAGATATGACATGATGCTTTAAATATAGATATACTCTCGCTCTTTATATAAGAAGAACATTTTCTATGGAGGATCTCTGTTGAGTCTCTTTGACTCACTTTTCTCTTCTTTCTGTTGAGTCTCTAGACTCACTTTTCTCTTATTTATTCTTTCTTACTTTCTTTCTGAACTCGTGGGCGAGGTAGGAACTTCACGAATCGAGAACGAACCTATCCGAGCTCGGCATCTAGCCGGCCTAATACTCATCTCGCCCACATAACCGTTTCTCTTGGTTCTTACATAATCTCTGTGGAATCATGTATCGTACTTGTTAGTGTGCATACCCCCTAACCAGGATTCCAAGCCCGGCGGGTAGTATCCAACCTAGTAATTCGGGAATATCGACCAAGCTACTTCATAAATATCTATTGGTTCTCTGTGACCGTTTCTTTTCTTTCTTAAACTTCTTTCTTTATCTTTTCTTCCGAAAGGACATAGTCCTAACGGGGCCTCCAAAACAAAGTTTTCCTCACAATACAGATAGCATATATATCTCATGCAATTTATCTCAATAATATGCAAGCTTTGCAATGCACATAATTCTCAAACAATATCTCTTTCTCACATTTTGGAAATCAAGTTATCATGCAATATTCTCAATGCAAATAGATATAGATTTTCCAAAATATATATAGGTTTTGAAATAGGACTTAGGCTTTACTTGGAGCCTTCAATGCACTTAATCTTTGAAACATGCTAAAATTCTCATTCACTGTGAATATGGAAATATGCACTGTTTCATGCCAAAATCTCAACAACCTAGCAAATATTCTCAACAAATACTATCAAGTATTAAACATGCTTCTCAACCATTCATATACTCAAATGCTAAAAATTCATTTCATGAACTCAAGTTCAATGTCAAACACCTCAGATGATAAGTGTTTATTTGTCTATATTTTCCCTCCTTTCACTAAGACATTTTGTTCGTAGATCATTCTAAATTTCATGAGATTATGACTAAATTGTGTTATTTTGCAAGAAGTTTGGTTTGGAAAGCATTGGAAGCAAAGATGAGTAATATCATGCATTTTGGTGGATATTGGAGTCAAGTGGAGCATTATGGATACATTTAGAGTCCATGGGAGCCAAGAAAAAGCTAAGAGGATTGGCAAAACACTTCCAAGGAAGCTTAAGAGTGGTGTATTCAATGGTCTTAGTCATTTGGGCAAACCAAAGCAAAAGAGAAGCAAAAGATCATGGAATTGAAATTCCCAACCTGCACGTCAACAACATAGTTTTTGGACCATATCTCGGCCTAGGAATGTCGAAATGAAGTGATTTTTGCGCCATTGGAAAGAAGACTCGAAGGACTATAACTTTCATGAAGACATCAAATCCTAATTCTGAGCATAAAGTGGTCAAAATCAGCCTACAAGTCGGTGTTACGTTGCAGAGTTTTCTCGACGCGTCGAATC